TCTGTTTATCTAAGTGTCTAATCTGTATGTTAGTTCTGTTATCAACATCTATTATAAGATGCTCGCTGATAGGTATGCTCTAATTAACTCAAAACTGGTATAAAACACCTTGAATTGCTATGAGCAAATGATTATGCAACATTTCTAGATATGTGGCTGATCACATGGTCCAATGAAAGTTATTTCATATAGTTAATCAAGAGTCTGTTTATTATCTTTATTTATACCCTGCAGTTCAGAATACTGATCCATCCAAGAAAGCTAACAAAAACAACATCAAAGCATATTAAATGTCAACATATAAAAATTAATCAGATTCCTTCCCACCAACAGCTGGTAGTTGATAGTCCTTTGGGGAGCAGGGTGGAGGATTCAAGCTGCAGCATCCTGCAGCTTTACCTATTAATTTTTGAACAGGGCAGGACTCTTTACAAGTAATAATTATAAACTGTGGGAATCCTAATAAAATTCAACCAACTTTACATTTCACTTTATATATCCAAATTATTATTTATATTTAGGATTTCAATGGCTCCACATGAATCAATGAAGATAGTGGAGGCAGAGAACAGGAATTCAGCCAGTCAGCTTTTTCTAATAATTTTTATCAAGAGACAGGGGACTAACAGTTCAATCCTCTATGTGTTTACTCAGAAAGAAGTTTTGCTGAGGACAATGGGACTAATGCCTACATAAATAAACACAGGATTGCAGCAGTAAACCACAAGTATATAAAGGGCATAATCATAAGATTACTTTTGATCAGAAATAATTGTAGAAATACATTCAACAACGACTGGTACAGCTTAGTCACATTTAGAGTAGACCAATCAATTGGTCAGATTAGGCACAACCAAGAAAGAACCTGAGACAAAGCTTAACCAGCATAACACAATGGCTGTGGTTCGGCTCAGGAGAAGAACACATCAATTATTTTACAGTACCGCTGCATTTGTACCAAAAGCAAGCAAAACTGAGAAAATATTCGATCAAGTTATGAAAAAGTCAGCAAATATTTAAAAAACTAAACTGAATATTAAAACAAAAATATTTTTTCAAGATACTTTTCTAAACAGCCTATTTTTCATAACAGTGCTTTGCAGTGGGGCAATATTAGAGTTTAAAAATAAAGAGTGAAGTACAGAGTGTATCTGTCTTTGGTCACTCTATAAAGCAATTCCAACTTCTACAGCAGGTTATAAAAAAAATTGGATGCTGCTATAACTGCTTATCACAAAAGCATGACATTTTAGGCAATGGAAAATTAGTTCAATGGGCCATTGAACTCCCATTTAAGGTATATGGCAAAAGGCTGCAGCCCGAAGTTTATTATTTATCAAGAAATCGGGCTGTTTGGAAATCAGTTATAGTAGAGCGGATGGCTCAATTATTTACAGCGGTGACATACTCCGTATTTCGACAGACTACTCCACTTAACCTTAAATTTTGGTACGAGAGGACGTCTCCAGAAGACCCCAAAACCACTCAGTATTCGTCGTGCGCGACTCCCTCTACTTTTCCTTTTGCATACAACGCAACGGAGAACTCCGCAGACGTGTCTCCGTGCGCCTTTTCCCAAGAGCCAGGAAACGATCGCAGTTTTCAGCCTTGCACAAGCCACGTGTGCTCTCGCCCCCCCCCCCCTGACACGTCCCACAAGCCTGTCTACGTCCGGAAAGGTAAACCGCTCGAAAGAGGCCGCCGTCAGTTCCTCCTCAAGCAAAGAAGAAACTCCGCAATCGCCTCGCCGTTGATTGGGCAGGGGGGAGGGGTCTTAGGCAAGCTACCTGCTACTCCCCCGTTTCTACAGAAGAGGAACAGTACACCGCCGGCCTAGCTAAACTCGGTGTGGAAGCTGCCCCTTGGCCACATGCGAACCAACCGGAGAAGCCCCCAGCTCCCCGGGTGCCTTCCAAGCTCGCCCGGCTGGCGCTGGCGCGAAGGCTCCCCCCGAGCGGCCCTGGCAGCCTTCCTTGAGCGACTCGGGGAGGCGCGCCGAAGCGCCGTCTATTCGTTCCCGTCCCGCTGAAGGGGCCGGGAGCCGCCTGAGCAGCGTCCGAAGCAGCCACTCCACGGCACAGGGAGCGCCCGCCCCTTCGCAGCGCCCCGCCGGGCTCGGCTCCAAGCTCCTCTCCTCACGCGCACATACGCCGCGCGAGGGAAGCCATGATTATTCGCTGGTGCCAGGAGAACCACGCCCCAGACCCGGCCCAAGGGAAGGCGGGAGGGGCGCCGTCGTTGCCGAATCCGGCCCCCCGCCCCGCCAGCCCTCCTTTGGAGCAGGAAAACGACGGTGACAAGAGCAGCCGCGCGTCCACACAGTGATTTCCTAACCACATCGCCAGACGAGCCTCCGGCTGAACTCGCAAGCATGGCAACCATTACCCTCCAACCGTCCAACCCTGTCCTCGGCCAACAACTACTCCTCTCCGCTTTCGCCTCCCCGCACTTAATTTTAAAGGGCGCATAGCAACATGCTTCTTTGGGTAACTGACAAAGCCGTTTGATTGACTCACCAACAGCTGAATAGAAAGGCAGAGTGTACAGAAACCCCACCCTCCCGTCCAATGCCGTGTGGCCCGTGATGAGGGTAGAAACCTAAGAGAATGGAGAAGAGAGTTACATTCCCGGCTTTCAATTAACGTTCCTAATAACCCTCCACATGCGGGGAAGTGAGAGGGGTACTGTGGAGATGAACCTTATAAATAAGACAGCGCTAGAAGCACAATACCTTCGTACTGTTCGACTTTCCCCAAAAACGGCTTTTGCTCCCTGCATTAGCTGGACTCTCATTTGCTGTTGGAACAGATTTTAGATTTGTTTGTTCTTTCTAAGATAAAGTAGTTTTTGGAAATAGTGCCCGTGTTTATCCTCCGAGTTATACTATACAATATTGGTAGCATTTATACCAATTTAACATTTAGTATAAATGTTATACATTTATAACAGATCACTTCCTAACCAGACAGCACGCTTTGCTAGAAGGAAGACAGAAATGTTTGTAAGGGGGCAATTTGGATTGTGGGGGAAAAAATGTAAGTATATATGGCCAGCAAATGAAAAAGGCCTGTTTCTTAAACAGGCCTTCAAGCAATGGAACAGAAGAACGCATTCTGCATGGGAAAAGATTCCACCCAGGACTTTCTGGGGACATGTTTTAGCAGAACAGATACTACAGAGCTTATGTTTCATCCTGCACCTTTAAAGGGACTGCAACAGCGGACAGATATCCAGCTGCAGTTTTCACATCGCTATACCCATGACGAGGGAACATAAGAGGAGCCCTCCTGGATCAGACCGGGGTCCAGCTGGTCCCGCATGCTTTCCATACAGTGGTTTTGAGTATAACAGTCCCCTCTTGCCCAAGTACCCCAGCAACCTGTGTATACAGGCACACTGCTCTGTCGCGGGAGGTAGGAGTCAGCCATGTGAACAAGTCGCCAGTCATGGCCTTCTCCTCTATGAATTTGTCTGATCATCTTCTAAAGCTCTAGTGACCATTACTACGTCCTGTGGAAATGCATTTCATAGTATGACTACAGGCTGTGCGAAGAAATACCGTTTTTTCCACTCAGTGGTGGGCGATTCAGATCAGCTTGATGGGGCAATCCCAGGTTCTAGCATTATGCCAGAGGAAGAATAATGTCTCACAAATAATTTTGTGCACCTTATTTGCTTTTCTTAAGCTAAACAATCCCAGCTGTAGTAACCTTTCTTCATAGAGGATATGCTTCAGCCAATGATAATTTTAGTCTGACCTTTTCAGTACCTTTTCCAACTCTTTAGTATGTTTTAAAGTGTAGTGGTCAGAACTACATGGCATTCTAAGGGTAGTTGCACCATAGATTTGTATAAGGGCCATTTTCTTTTCAATTTTTTTCTTAATCATGCTTACCATGGAGTTTGCAATTTTGATCAACCTGTCCACCAAAATAGCTGGATAGATTTCTTGGTTAGGCATTGTTAAGCTTAGATCTCATCACTGCATATATGAAGTTGGGATTTTGTTGTTTTCTTTGAATTTGTTTCTTTACTGCAACTTTGTAAAAGGAATCAGTCTAGTCTCAGATTTAATCCCATGAAATTATCTACTTTTTTTACTAAAACCTTTTGCTATCCTTACATTTGCATCCGTTGAATGTCTGACTCTGAAATATAAAAACGTAGGAACTCAGCCATAGGGATGGGAGCTGGGTATCTAATGTTTTATCTGTAACGTTTTGAAACAACTTGCCGTGCTTCAAAACACTGCAACGAATAGGCGATTCTAACGCGGTCCTGTTATCGCTCTGTCCCAGCCGCACATGGAAGAGACGACGCGATGTAATCGGGAAACCTGAAGAAGAGCTTCAAAGCCATTAAGACTGCGTCCCCTTGGTAAAAGGAGCGCGGCTATCAAGCTCGAGCGTAGCGCTAGAAGAGCGCTATGACTGACGTAAGTCAACAAAGATCACGTGCGCAGGGCTGGGCGCGGCGATTGGCTGCGTGGGCACAGGCAAGCGGGGTAGGGAGGGGGGTCACGGTGGCGGCGTGGGGTTCGCTCTGTGACACAATTACAACAACTTTGTGCAGCTGCTGGGGAAGTTTGTACAGGCAACAAATACACCCCACGCGGGCGCGCGCGGGCCCCTGTCACCCCGACTCCACTCACTCTTCGCCGCCGGGGCTGGCGGCTCGGCAGCGATGTAAACACTGCTTCGTCGCCGTCACCGCCAGCAGCAACAGCAGCAGCAGCAGCCGCCGCCTCCTCCTCCTCCTTCTCCTCCTCCCACTCCCCCCAGTCTCCAGCGCTGGGGCTCCCTCCCTCCCTCCTCCTCCTCCTCCTCCTCCGAGCAGCGGGGCTTCCCCCCGCCTCCCTCTCCCTCCCCTCCCTGCCGGCTGTTGTTGTTGTAATAAAAGTTGTGGTGGTGGTGGTGTGTGTGTGTCGGGCACCCCGCCCCGCCCGGCACTGGGGGGGGCGTTGGGGGCGCGCGGGGAGGAGGGGGGGCCCTTGCGATCGTGAGTTAATTACGTTGCGTTTCCATGAAATCGTGTGGAGTGTCGCTCGCCGCCGCCGCCTCTGCTGCTTCTTTCGGTGATGAGGAAAAGAAAATGGCGGCGGGGAAAGCGAGCGGCCAGAGCGAGGAGGACTTCGCCAGCCTGACAGCGGAGGAAAGAGAAGTCCTCTCTGGCCTCGACAGGTACCCGAACGGCAGCCTCTGTGATCCGGCTCGCCCGGTGTTCTCCCTTGCTTGCCCGCCCGGCCGCCCGCCCGTGCTTTTCGAGCGCCCGTGTGTGTGTGTGTGTGTGCGTGAGAGAAAGCGAGCGAGTGTGAGTGTGCTGGTGCTCTTGGGCCGGGGTGCGGGCTCTGCCCTGCCAGCGCCAGAGAGGGAGCGAGTGAAGCGGTCTGTTTGAGGCGGGGTGGGGTGGGGTGGGGTGGGGGACTCCACGAACGTGGCTGTTTTTCTCAATCTCCCCCTCTCTCTCCTGGTTTCCCCTTCTGCAGCCGACTCTTCGGATTTCTGAGGCTTCATGAAGATGGCGCCAGAACGAAGGCCTTGCTGTTAAAGGTAAGGGGACTGGGGTGGGGGAGGAGGCAACCGACGAGGGAGCCACCCTCCCCTCCCTCGTGTGTGTGTGCGTGTGTGTGCGCGCGTGTGTGTGTGTGCGTGCGCGCGCGTGTGCGTGCAGGAGAGCAGAGGAATTAAACCGTCACATCGCGCCCGTAAGACTCGTCAGGACTTTAGTCGAGCTGCCCTGCGACCTACCATCTCTTTCCTGGCAAGATCGGCTCCGTTTTTCTCTGGCACCCAGCAAGGCGAAGAGGGATGCGTGGCGTGGAAAGCGCCTCTGGGCCACTTTCTGGGCTTTGTCCAAAAAAGTAGGACAGAATGTGCCTGCCCTTCAGGCCCGAATCTGCCCAGCTGGGAGCAACTCCTTCAATATAGTCGGGAGATCAAGCGTTCCTTATTTGCCATTGGCCGCCCTGGACCTCTCCCCCTCCCCGTTTTATTCTTTTCACTCATCCATGTTGCTGGGAGGAAAAAAAGCCAGGCGGAACTGAATTGCCTTAACTCGGTTCATATAACTAGGAAGAAGGGGTATCAAAGAGACGTGGTTCCTTCCATGGCGTGTCACTTTTGGGTGCCAGTCTCCAAATGTTTTGTTTACTTTCTTTCAATGCATTTTCCTTGAGTGGCTTGTTTGCTCTCGCGGATGCTTTTCTCATCCTACTGTTTTATTAGGGAGTAGAGTACAGGTTGCTGCAGCACACCAGAGTATGAAAAAAGGGAGCTTGTTTCAGTAAAAAGTTATTGGTCCTGTCATTTAGTTAAGTAATGGCTGCTCCTGTCTGCCCAAGATGGCCGGACAGGGAGGAGAAAGAAATGGGTGGGAGGAGGTAAACAGGGAAATAAATAGTAGGGATGAATATGTTCATCAGCTGAAGTGTAAGGCTTAATAGCTGCATAGGTAAATTCTATTCATGTGTCAAGAGTGTTTTGTCTTTCTTGATTTTCTAAAGTAGAATATTGCATTTGTAGAGTTATGAATAAACTGCATCAACCTGTGGCACGTTTAGTTGCTTGCCTATAAGGCACTGTCAAGAGCCACAATGCCTAGAAATGACAATTTAATTTTCTGGACAATTTTACCTGTTATCACATAGTTAGAAGGGGGATAATGCTGAATCATTTGATATCTCTATTTTCTTTTGAGAACTGGTATCATTGTCTTGTGACATCTTAATGTTTAGGCTGGGCATAAATGTTCTTTTAAAAGTGCTGCTTTGTTGCAATTCAAACATACTTTAAAGCGTACATGTTTTGTTCTTGGCAAGTTTATTTTTTCAAGTTTTAAATTTTTGTGGGGTTGGGGTGTTGACTTTATGCAAAGGCAGCGTCTACACACATTTGGACTCTTACATGTTAGATATTTTACTTAAGAGTGTAGTGTCTACCTGGCTTTCTTCCCAGTATAAAATAGTAGCATACATGTATTGAACTGCTGGCATGCTGGGTCTTATCAGCAATATTAATGAAAGCAACTAGTTTTAAGACAAGAAATGAAAATGTTGCGGAAATACATATAAGAGTAGAATTGTTCTGCATTTTAAAATGTGAAGCTTCAGTCTAAATAGGAGCAACCCAAATATTTGTAGTATTGTGATTTAAAAATACTGTAACTATTGTGTTTGGCTTAGTGGGTATACATTTAATGTGTTTATGTATTCATCAGCTATATGGATCTGGTTTTTCTGACATTAAAATGAGTTAATTGCTTGGCATGGTTGGTGTATTTGTGAATTTGGAGGGGCTACTCCTTAGATTTCCCCCTCCCTACCCTGTGGAGCAAAGCATCAGGAGTAGAGTAGCTTGATCATGTTATGGTAAGAGAAAGCATGTTGTGATCTGCTATTTGTCATTTTTATTTGGATTGCTGTTTAAGAATATATAAACCATAGATTAATAGAACATTCCTAGATACATTGACTTAGAATTAAGTTCTATTGAATTTAGTATAGCTTCTTCCCAAGTAAGTCCCTTAGTCCCTAAATGGTAGGCTTGCAGAATTTAAAAATCAGAGTAAGTCACAACTGGGTGACTCTGGTAATGTCTCAAATTATGTAGTTCTGGTTTATTTTCCAGAATGATTCACCATCAGGCAAGTAATGCAGTTGGGATAGTGGGGAATTAATAATACCATAATCAGGCCAGAAAACCATTTGGGGCCAAGCACTTCCTCTAAGCTCCAATGACTTTTTAAAGAGAAGATTTAGACAGCTAACTGAGCAACTCAGAGTTCTTGTGCAATTTCAGACTAGGTTGTTCATCAGTAGTTCTTTGAGGGCTGTAATGTGTTTTTTTGAATGGATAAGACAGGACTTATAAGGTGCTAGAAAAGATGTGGAAAAGACGGCTTATATGCAAGATCTGATTTCTGTGCTGATAATCATTCTAAGATGTAGCTGCTGAGTGGAGTAACTTGCTGGAATTTGGGAACCTTTAGTACTTTCCTGTTGAATAGTTGTTGGATCCATGATAATCCTGAGATCTGTCCCTTATAACATGACATAGTATTATTGAGTTCTTTGTTATAGATAATGGAACAGTTAAGTTGGTGCTATCAGATGGGAGCTGGTTCATAATGTGCTTATAATTTTGAGACTATTTGTTTTTCCTTAAGGAGTCTCTTTTTTATGTAAATATAGATTGCTCTAGACAGTGAGGTTAAAAGGCATCTTTTGTTAACCAACTTTGGGAAAACAGTGGAACAGTTACAAGTAGAAGATTAGGCCACCTGTAAAATTCCTCGAATGAGGCATGGTGAATGATGGCATGATAAGCCCTGCCTGGAAAGAATCCATAATGTTAGTTTGCAATAGTACTATATGCAACTGTTCTAAAAATTGCAAATTTGACATTCTCTGGAGTCTGATGCTATCCTTGTCAGAACTGTAAATTATATACTACTTGAACTGATAAACAGGAAGAATCTTAAACTATGATGGTACATGCTGCTTTTGCTCCAGTTGCTTTTTCCAAGGTGCATTTAAGCTAATGCTTAGTAGGAACCAGAAAACATTGTCATCTGTATTGTTTGTACCAGGGAAATACAGGGGTGAATGTATCCTTTGGGTCTGATTTAGTATTTAAAGCATGGAACTGATAAGGAAATTGCAAGCATTACAAACACTGCTTTCTGATATACTGCCTCTGTTTCTGGGCTTAATATGGGGGCAGGGTAGTAAATAATGGTTATTTCTTAGCTTACAATTACGCATTGGTGGGTGACTACACTGCTTTTGGTATCGCAGTCTTGATCTTAAATCTTCTAGTACCTTTATATCTGTGGAAAGGAATATTTGTGCTAGAAAAATTTAGTCTTTAATATTTTTTTGTTGAAAAACTTGTAATAGGATGTTGCTAGAGCTAAAAATATGATAGCCTGCAAAAAAGGGGGACACACAGTCCTTTTTCTTTTTTTCCCCTGTCCCTTCACATCTCTAGCCAAAACCATTCAAACTGAAATGGTACATTTGACAAAGGCATGGTGGTTCAACTTCATGCTGGTTCAATATATCTCATAGAAAATTCTTGTATAAAATCAGTTTACATCCCTGATTAGTTTATTGATTGATAGAATATGTTGGTCTTCATGCTTCTGTAAAGGAAGAATTAAAAGTGCTATTCAGTGGCTGATAGAATATGTTGGTCTTCATGCTTCTGTAAAGGAAGAATTAAAAGTGCTATTCAGTGGCTTCCTGAGATGGAATTTGACATTTATTTATTTATTTATTTATTAAAACATTTTTATGCCGCCCCATTCGCCGAAGCCTCGGGGCGGCTTACCACATCTGTCTGTCCGTATGGTTTTTCATTCTGTGATAAGAGGGTAATTTTTGCCCCAGTTGCACTAGAGGTTGCAAGTCATTTTCAAATGGGGAGTTTTACTTTTGGAACACCTTCATTTTCAAAAATAGTCACATGGAACATGAAAGTTGTTGTATTTAAATCTCTTGCTGGGGATGAGTGCATTTGTTTCCTTCATGTCTGTTTTTTGGGGGGTGGCACAATTTGTTGGCAAATTGGGGTGTATCTGAAAGTATTAGGTAATGTTTTATGTAACATACAGAGAACTTAATTTCTTGTGGTGAACCTACAGTTAATAAGTTTGCCAAGGGATGGTTTGATCTTTTTAGAGTGGCATAGTTTATATACAGAATACTGTATTTCATTCATTGAGTTTATTTTTGCTCTGCTACAAGACTTGGACTGAAATTACTAGAGGATGTGCTATTTGCGCTCCAGTTCTGTCTTTACTTTGAGATAAGTGAAGTTTAATTCAATGAAACTTCTAAGCTAGTCAGCTAAGGGCTGCAGCTATATAACCTGAATCCTAGTCACATTAACTGAGAAGTAAGCCCTATTTTTTAAGTGGGACTTCTAAGTTGGTATACATAGTGTTGCAGTTTAGTGACGTCATTTGGAATGGTTGGAAAGGTGAAGACTGGCATGATTAACATATGAATATTTGTTACTTGTGTTCCTTGTCTTTTTTCTTATAAATATAAAATGTTATATTTTTAAATCACATTAGAACATAATTTTGCCAGTTTTAGAAACTTGGATAAATAAAAGATTTAGAAAAGTATGAATTTTGAAACTTTATTTGAAATATTTTTGCTCCATGTATCCATTACTGAGAGGTGCTACCCATCTTACACATCTCAAATAGATAATTTAGTAGTGTTCTATATTAATAGTTTCAGCTGAAAATTCTTTGCTTATTTGGGTTATTCTAGGTTAATAAGAATAAATAATGGTCAAAATATTTTAATCCTAAAATATTTGTTATTACATTTACATGAGCTGAACAACACTGTCGTGAATAGGCGAGTCTGGAAGGTTTTCATTCATAAAGTCACCATAAGTCAAAAACAACTTGATGTCATGTGAAAACAACAACAACTTAGTACTGCAGTTATATATATCCTCCCTTTCAGGATATATATCCTTGCAACATGGCTTGCAAATGGCAGAAAGATTCATTAATAAAAAGACTAAGCAGT